GTTGAGGCGAGGAGGGGGGCAGCGAGGGAGAGAGGATACAGACAAGTGTTATGTCGGGAGTTTTGACAAGATCAAACAACTGTGCGTGGTGCTGACAAAATGAAATGTTTATCGCAATCCGCAAAAAGAACAGACTTGTACTTGAGAATCCACATATCTGCCCCCAGTGTGGATCTAATCGATGAGTCAAAGAAAACAAAAGTATGTTTGGGGAAACTTCGACGAGCTTTGTTTAGATCTAGGTCATTCCGTTCGTGAGTATACTCGTCCACGGTACTGGGGAGAGCAGTCGGGCTTTAGTTCAAGTAAGAGTTTTACGACACTTGCAAAACAATAAGGTCATATAAATGCCGAAGAATAGATTACGGGTTACAAGAGAGTAACAATAACAAAAAAGAAGGAGGGGAGATAAGGACGATAGATGTTTGATAGGAAAATAGGAGCAAACCACACCAGAGCACCCACCAACCACCCACACAGTCAGGCTTAACAAGGAGTATTTTTGTCCCCAGTCTGACAGCCGTTCGTCTGAGAGGAGAGGGGAGAGACCAGTTCTTCTATCTCTCTCTTGTAGAAGCAGGATGGAGGATTTGATCGCTTCTGGCAGACTTTGCATTTGCTTCATGGAGAGGCTGTGCAAGATCATTTATGTTGGATTCATATGTAGGCCTACAGAGAGAGGCTTCAATTTTAGGAAGAGTTTTACAGTACTAGCAACACAAATAGGTAATACAAGTGTCAAAGATTACAGGCATTCCTAGAGAGTAACATACAAAGAAAAGAAGGAGGAGTTATAAATATGATAGATGTTTGATAGAAAAGAAGGAGCAAACCCCAGCAGAGCACCCACCAACCATACAAACACTGGAATGTATGATGAATACAAATAAAAGAAGGAGGAGAGATAAGGACGATAGATGTTTGACAGGAAAGAAGAAGGAGAGATAAGGATGATAGACATTTTATAGGAAAGAAGGAGCAAATCCCAGCAGAGCACCTGCCAACCAATCACCACCTAACCACTGGAACATAATATGCATGTATGACTGGCACTGACCTGCAGGGCGTTGGTGTGTTCCTGACCCTTCTGTATCTTGACCATCTGCTCCTTCCTCTTCTTGAAGCGGCGGAAGTAGTCCTGTATGAGGAAGGTGGCGTAGAACTTGCCCACCGTCACGTCGTCGTCCCCTGCAGAGGTCGGTTTTTAGTTTAAGTAAGAGTTTTACGGCACTTGCAACACACTAAGGGTCATATAAGTGCCGAAGATTAGAGGTGTTACAAGAGAGTAACACACACAAAAAAAAGAAGGAGGAGGAGAGATCAGGACGATAGATGTTGGATAGGAAAGAAGGAGCAAACCACACAAAAGCACCCGCCAACCACCCACACAGAGGTCAAAGGTGACACGTGTCAACACACAAACAAACAAACAGGTCTCGTACGAGGAAAGTGAAGAAGAACTTGCTATCATCGTATTGTTATTACATACACCGAGGTTAAGAAGGTCAACGACTGAATCATTAGTTGCACTTTCTCCTTCCTCTCCCTCTCTCTCTCTCTCTCTCTCTCTCTCTCTCTCTCTCTCTCTCTCTCTCTC